TTTTAGTTTAGTTCATTTAGGTTAGATTTGAGAAGGTCGTTGCTGCACACTCCACTCAAACAGATCAGATTTAGATGCAGCTGTCATGGTGGACCACTTTATTTCTAAAGCACTTAAAATAAAACATAGCAGCTGAACAAAGGGCTGCAGGAAAATGAAAACAAATGATAAAATATAAGAAAAATAGAAATCAAACATCAGAAATACAAGTAGGAGTTCAGCATTAACCCTTGTGGGTGCGAGGACTGAGGCAAACATAGAGGTCTATGGAAAATGATCCAGGTTTTACGTGTGGGGGGTCGATTGGACCCCATTTCGACATACAAGGGTTAAACAGAGATGCAGCTCACTCAGGGTTAAAACACAGAGAAATAAATGTGTTTTAAGTGAGTTTTTAAAAGTTGTATCATAGAAGTTGATCATTCACCAGGTTAACTCCGCAGTTACTGAGCTGTGTGTTTATGGTTTGTGTTTTATTTCTCTCATAATGTATCCTCACTTAGAATCACTTTATAAGCAGCAACGTCTCACAATAAAACATTTCATTTAATCTAATTCCTTCCTAGATCAGGCCTTTAATAAAGTAAACAGAGCGCTGCTGTGGGGACCACACCGTATGAGAGACGAGGGACCCAGACCGAGGTGGCCGAGGGACCCAGACCGAGGTGACCGAGGTGGCCGAGGCCCCGGGAAGCCTCGGAGGGTTTATCGGTCAGAAAGGCTCCAGAGAGCCGAGAGAGACTCGGAGGGACCCGGAGCGGCAACACTTACCTCTGTTAACAAGTCAACATGTTATTTCCACCCTCCGCTCAAAATGGCGACTGACTTGAGGAAAGAGATCAAAGTTAGTTTCAGTTCCTGTTTCCACAGAAAGTCACGTGACTTGTGTTTTCTTCAGCGTCCAGAATCAAAGTTTGATTCATTTGAATAAATATTAACAGTTCAATTTGAGTTTACAAAGTGAAATAAAACTAGAATAAAGATCGAAAACTTTCATTATTTCTGTTTCGCTGTTATTGAAGAAGATTTGGAGCTGAGCAGCTTTTTGTTCTGCAGAAAACCAGCAGAACAAACGAGTTTAACAGGTTTTTGATAGTGGATTATGAGCGCTCACTGCCCTCTGGTGGTGAACTATCGTAACTACAGATATTCCACTACATACTAACCAGGTCATTTGTTTAACTTAATTTGTTCTCATTTTCACCTTTATCAGGTCAAATAAAATCAGCTTAAATTAATGTTGTTAAGGAGCCACTGCAGGGTTAATAAATGGAAAAGAAAATTAAGCTTACTTAGTTAAAAATCCTCACAAAAAGATTAACTGTCTGTAACTTTAAGAATCAAGCCTGAAAAAATATATAAACTATAAAAATGTGTAATTAAATCCAACCTGCTGAGATCAGAGCATTGAGCAGGATG